AGCTAGTTGGCGATGACAAGTTGGCCATGGCAAGTTGAGCATGGGGAGTTGGCCATAGCTAGTTGGCCATGACAAGTTGACCATGGCAAGTTGGCTGCAGCAAGTTGGCCATGGTGAGTTGGCCACAACTAGTTGTCCCATTCCAGCCTCTGACACCTCCTGCAGACACCCTTCAATGGTAGCAGCTTGTTACTGAAAACCGAAAATGTTTCAGCCCTTTTAGATAATCCCCATTTACTTTATATTGTCTAGCAGGGAACCATACAGGCTGAAGCCAATTTAGGACGTTGCCAATTGCCGTTTGGTCTGGAGGCCCCCCTTGCCCCTCGGAGCCCACACCCTTCCCTGGGCCAGTTCTGCCCCTCTCACGGAGGCCAGGGGACGAAGGCAGGCGAGACTTACCCTCAAAGCCCAGCTGCAGTCGTGAATGGCTTTCCCGTACTTCTGCAACTTGATGTAGGCCTAATGCAGAAATAAAAGAAGCGGGTTAAGTGGACGTGGGGATGCTGGGCCCTTCAAAATGCCGGCCGTTCCCCCTGGGCTTTCCTGGCAGAGGAACTGAGTCATTCGCCAGCCAAACTGGCCTGAAGAAACCCGAATGGGCTTGTTTCAGTTAGCAGCCATGGCGGTCGCACTGCTGGCTCAAAATGCCATATTTTCTGCTGTATTCTCAGCAAAAAAAACAAAACATCACCCCTATATTTAGGAGAAAATAAGAGGGAAGGTTGTGGCTAGACTTCTGCAAGTCCAAGGTGTCAGAAAAACTCATTCTGCTCCACTGAGCTTCCACAGAGAAGGCCAAGCCATGAAATTAGCCTTTTTCCCAGTGGTGAGATTCAGCCAGTTCGCACCGGTTCAGGCCAACCGGTAGTTGGGAGGACCCATTGGCCTTGCCCACCCTGCCCCAGGAGTCTCCAAACAGCCCGTTTTCGGATGCCAGGTAAGTGCAGGGGCCTCGCGGAGGGCCTGGGAGGGCAAGAATTGGGCCTTCCACAAGTCCAAAAACGTTCCCAGCTTCCAGAGAATCGTTAGCTGAAATTTTGAGTAGTTTGGAAAACTGGCAAATACCATCTCTGGCTGGCCTCGCCCCATCTATTCTCTGCCTCCCGAGTCCCAGCTGGTCTGGAGGGAATGGAGATTTTGCAGTANTACTCTACTCTACTCTACTCTACTCTACTCTACTCTACTCTACTCTACTCTACTCTACTCTACTCTACTCTACTCTACTCTACTCTATGTTATTTCTATTGCTTCCTTCCCTTTCCTTTCCTTTTCTTCCTTTCCTTTTCTTAACATTAAGACTGGCTGGGGCTCTGCTCACTAGGCCATCCAGCCAGTCAGCAGCAGCCTCAGTAAGTTTCTGAGGTGTCCAAGGGCTTCTTAACAGTTCGCAACCTCACAGCAACAAAGTTGGAATCTCTGCTTCAGCAGGAAGTCCCAGCCGGGGCGCAGGGTGGGGGGTGGGGGGGCTCGGCCGCGTGATAGCCCCGTGCCATTTACTTGGTGGTGTTGAGATGCCTGATTAAGAGGGTCCTCCCGTGCTCCGTCTGGGCGTAGAGGGAGAGCAGAGCCATGCACTGTTCCTGGACGTCGGGCGCCTCCGAGCACAGCAAAGCGGGAAGCTGAGCGTTGACACTGGGGTGAGTCAGAAGCAGCCGCTGGTTCTCCTCTGGAGGGAGAAGGAAGCCAAGCCAGAAGGAAGGTTCAGGCAACAGCTCCGCCAGTCCTCCTCCTAGCCCCCCTCTGCCTTCCCCAAACCGTGCGACCACCGGAAGGTCCTTTCGTGCCCCAGTGACGAGATCCGTCTGTCTCCTGGAGCGACGGTGGAAGGAGGAACATTCTGTCTCCAAAACCTCTGACTTTCTCATCCCTCCGAAGGGCAAATTATGTTTCACATGCCGACGGGAAAAGCAATCCGCGTCCCACCTTGTAATTATAAGCACACACACACACACACACCAGGGGTGGCTTCCGGCTTCTGTTACTGCCGGTTTGCTCAGGGGTGCGCTGTGGGTGTGTGTGCTTAATGCATGCACGCTTAATGTGTGCTAGGCGTGCATGCAAAGTAGCAAAAAAATTGCTTCTCCGCATGTGCAGAAGCAAAAAAGAAGATAGCAATAGGAATAGCAGTTCGACTTATATACCGCTTCATAGGGCTTTCAGCCCTCTCTAAGCGGTTTACAGAGCCAGCATATCGCCCCCAACAACAATCCGGGTCCTCATTTCAC